TTGGTTTCTGAGTGATAACTTTAACAAAAATTTGATTTGTTGTTGAAGAGGTAATCATAAACAACTAGCGATACCAGTCAAAATAAAGGTTGTCAAAGCTAGAACAGGTTTTGAATATTTTCGCGATAATAGACCAGAGGTTCTTGAAATTAGACCTGGTTTGATTTGTTTGTTTGTGTGCTTGTTGTTTAACGCCACACTCAGCAGTATTCCAGCTATATGATGTGAATCTGCAAATAATCAAGTCTGGACCAGACAATCCAGTAATTGACATCATGAGTGAAGATCCGGGTTAGAATAGGTCTTCAGCAACCCATGCTTGCCGTTACAGGTGACTATATGCTTGTCGTAAGAGTCGACTAACGGGATCGGGTGGTCAGGCTTGCTGACTAGGTTGATGCATGTCATTGTAACCCAATTACATAGATCGATGCTCATGATGTCGATCACTTGATTGTCTGGTCCAGACTCGTTATTTACAGACGGCTGTCATATAGTTGGAATATTACAGAGTGCGGTGTTAAACAACAAACAAAACATGGGTACAATGTGTGTTTCCCATGTCTGATGTCCTGTTATAGTGCTGGAATATTGCTAAAAGTACTCACTCACTCTACAACACTAGTCTTCTAAGTCTTCCCTTCAATGTGGTTTTAATATAACTTTGCATTCAAGACTCACTTGTGAATATATCAACTTGGTCTCTCTGCTATGTGGCTGAAATAATGCTGATGCGATGTTAATTTGTTTACTAACTCAGTTCCAAGTGGAGCAAGGGGCATGGGACCGAGGCTCAGTCATCCAAAGCACTGCAATTCACTGTGCAGATACGTTTCCTTTAGGGATGTCAGAAACCATAGTTATAATGATTATGACTTCATGTCCAAGATTCGCTCTGATTATTATCCCCTGCCCAACAAAGATGGCGGGGGATATAGAAACGGGCTCCGTCCGTCACGTTTCGTTTCTGAAGCATAACTCAGAAAGCGTTCAATATTTTTTCATGAAACTTTGAAGGTTTGTTAGGTACATGCTGAACTGGTGTCTTTTGCTATTTAGAAATTTTTAGAAATTTTTATTTTTTTACGTTTCCATGGCAGCAAGATGGACTTTGGTTCCAATCTCTTCTTTTTTTTACAATTTCCATGACAAGTTCCACCTCGGTAAAAAAAGGTTAGGGTTTGTTTAGATTTAATTATGTCATAAATTATGCAACAGGGGCAGGGGATATAGCCACGTTAGTGGCAAACTCTTGTGTTTCTAGGTTTGTCAGCACCAAAACCATGGATTTCATCACAGTGGTAATCATGTAGGACCTGCATCACTTTTGGCCTCCTCCCACTTTAAGCTGACAAGCCAGGAAATGACAGAAATACTCAAAGCAGCGTTACATCAAACTCATACACCCACTCCACATAGAGTTGCCGTGATGCGAATGCAGTACCGTAGTCTGCCGCCCAGACCTGAGAGAATAAATTAAAGAAGGAGTCCAACTCAAGTCTTGAATGATTTGGCAAGTCTAGATTGCCTCAGCTCTAAGGATTGTTCTTGGTTGGTTTTTATTTTGTAGATAAATATTTTTAAAAATGATAACTTAATACTGGGATTATATGTCAGTCCAGCAGGACTGTGAAAATAGTGTTGAACCTGTCTCACTCACTCACTCACTCACTCACTCACTCACTCACTCACTCACTCTTCAATTGGCACTGACAATAGTGTTGAACCCGCCTCACTCACTCACTCACTCAATTGGCACTGACAATAGTGTTGAACCCGCCTCACTCACTCACTCACTCACTCTTCAATTGGCACTGACAATAGTGTTGAACCCGCCTCACTCACTCACTCACTCACTCTTCAATTGGCACTGACAATAGTGTTGAACCCGCCTCACTCACTCACTCACTCACTCAATTGGCACTGACAATAGTGTTGAACCAGCCCACTCACTCACTCACTCACTCTTCAATTGGCACTGACAATAGTGTTGAACCCGCCTCACTCACTCACTCACTCACTCTTCAATTGGCACTGACAATAGTGTTGAACCCGCCTCACTCACTCACTCACTCACTCTTCAATTGGCACTGACAATAGTGTTGAACCCGCCTCACTCACTCACTCACTCACTCAATTGGCACTGACAATAGTGTTGAACCAGCCCACTCACTCACTCACTCAATTGGCACTGACAATAGTGTTGAACCCGCCTCACTCACTCACTCACTCACTCTTCAATTGGCACTGACAATAGTGTTGAACCCGCCTCACTCACTCACTCACTCACTCTTCAATTGGCACTGACAATAGTGTTGAACCAGCCCACTCACTCACTCACTCACTCACTCTTCAATTGCTGTGTAGCCTCAGTTTAGCTCAAATCTTGAAAGAATTAGCATCGTTACTGGTAATGAGGAACCGTTCCCTCTATTTATCCGAATTCCCCTCGTTGCTGACTATTTACGGTTTGCAGGAGAACAAATAATTCAGGTGGCATCACAGTCAATTTTCTATTTGATTGTAACAGGCTTCATATTTTTCTTTCAAAGGTAATTATTACTTTTGGGAGGATTTCTGATTACGTAATGAAGTCAGTGCCTTTTGGTTTCCGAATGAGTGACTGTAGCCACTGTGACATCAAAGTGGGGACATTTTTGCCAAAAGCAGTGATGGCAAGATACTTTTAATGCACAAGGGCTTAAGAATTAGTGCATGAGATATTTCTAATCTTGTCTTGTCTTGAACAAAGGAATTATTGAAGGTAGTTTTACCCTTACTTTACCTTGGAGTATTTGTTGAAAACATTGTTATCAAACAATGCTAATTACAAGGTTTTGATGTCTCCGAATCCCTTGGGGCCGTTATGCACTTAACTTCAGCTTGACATGAATTTCAGAAGCATTTTCAAAGTCCGGTAATATTACAGCTCATTTGTCTCAAAGAAGATCCTTTTCTTCTGTCTTAATGTTGAATTGAAAACAAATGGATGCATGTGGTATTTTACCTGGAAATATGCCTTGCGTACAGTATGGGGTTAATGTAATGTAAAGGTTAGAGTTTTTTTTTTTACTTATTATGTGTTTTTTTTATGGTATAAATTCTGGCAGGATTCAATTTGTAGATTTAGAATCTGGAGTATTTTGGAGATAAATGTACTGTTTTCAATTTAGAGCTAGGTTACTTGTAGATTTAACCGTGTTGAATTGAATTTGGAACTAAACATGCAGCTTGAGGTTTCCGATGTTTTATGTAGCATGTTATTTAGTGTTTAGCATTCATAATGAACATGGATATTGTGAACAAAGTCACAAACTATTTGAAAGGTCTCGACTGCAGTTCTATATTAAAGTCCGACAACTGGTCCGAGGGGTACTTGTCCAAGGGGTACACAAAGTATGTGATCTAGACTACCAGTTGTCGGACTTTCATTTTTGTGGAAGCCATGGTGGCTCAGAGTGGGTTAGATCCCTGACTTTGTGTACTGGTGATTAGGGGATGGGATGTCCTCAGATCTTTGTTTAGCGATAGCGAGAACTAAGATCTCATTTTAATGAGATTGCCATTTGAGTAGTTTGGTTGACGTTTTCAATTCTTGTTTCAATCCAAGATGGAGGACATATTTTCTAGTGTCTCTTGTAAAAAGCTATGGCTAGATGAAATCCATTTGAGTGTCAGTGCATCAATTTAGGTAGCATCAGGCAACACGCCGGTGTAGAACTAGTAGTTGTTAACAGTGTTGTGAACAACGTCTTAAAATCCTGAAATCAATTTTCACATGCTATAACAAGGAATGCAACCCTTAAGTTATTGAAACAATATATTCTTTTTCTATACGTCATCATTCCCCTATGGCGTGGATCATTGTTCATAATATCAATCACTGGATTGACTGCTTGAGATTCAATTTTTTACAGGCTACCATCTTGAAGCTGGAACATTGCATGAGGGGCGGGTGCTACATGTTTACCCTTTTTGCGAACACCCATCTTCCCGAGACAAAAGCTTAAACTGACTAGAAAAGTCCAGTTCCCACCCTTGACGAACTAGGCTGTAATTCGGAGTTAAATTTTGGCTGGAGTCTATGCATAGTCCAATCAAAACCACGTAAGGAACAACATGGATTTGAACGAGCAGATTTCGGTCGACTGCGGAATTTACAAAGCATGTGTACCGCCAACTAGTTGTTGACAGATAAACCTGCTTTATCACAATATAGTTGATTATCAATCAAATCGTTTTGTCTGGGCGCTGCCATTTTGTTTGAAGCAAATGCAAGTGATATGAGTGATGGAATCTGATTGGTCAGTAGGAAGGACACAGATGGGACAAAACTCGTAATAGCCACTGGGCCCACTTGCACAAAGCGATCTTAGCGCTAAGATGATCGTAACTCCCATTCTTTAACATTGGCTTAGATAGTCTTAGTGCTAAGATCACTTTGTGCAAGTGGGCCCTGGTGGCTTTATGATCGTGCCTGGAAATTCTAGCCTAGTTCGGCAAGGGTAGGAAGTGGACTTTTAAAGTCGTTTAACACGCTTGCCTCGGGAAGATGGCGAACACCAGGTATCATCTCTGATTTTCACTGACCCTTTCATATAATTTTCACCCCAATACACCCAATGGAGTCTGTTTCAGAGGATAATCCAGATTGGTTGTTCAATGATGTTGGCGTTTCATATTTGTACTTGGTAACCTGTTCTTGAATGCAGCCAAGACAATATGTCCGAATATTCATCGCATTATGGACCCGTGAAGATTCCGGGGTAGAATAGGTCTTCAGCAACCCATGCTTACTGTAAAAGGTGACTATGCTTGTTGTAAAAGGCGACTAACGGGATCGGGTGGTCAGACTCGCTGACTTGGTTGATGCCAGTCATCGATCCGAAATGCGTGGATCGATCCTCATGATATTAATCACTGGATTGTCTGTGTTAAAGAACAAACCAACCAACCAATCATCGCATTATGCTTTCAATACATATTATTTATCCTTGCAGGGCATTGAGCAGCTGAAGAAGGAGCAGGCAACGTGGGACAGGAAGTCCAAGTGGTTGAGCATCAAGGCAGTGTTTGGTCATCCCTTCTCCATGGAATGGTTCTCACCCTTCGCCACTCCTAAGTTTGTGTACCAGCAAAACTTTATGTATGCTGTGTAGGTCACCAGCCTCGCGTGGACTTGGAGCTGGTTGACACCCAGGTAATGGGAGGTGTGCACTATAGAAACTACAGAGCACCCTCCTTCAGTGTTGGATGGTTTAAGGTCATTTATATCTCATATATATTCAAGTATTCAGGTACTATCAGGTATCAAGGTGTTTGACAAGGTTGTGCTGAAGTAATGGTCAAGTGTATACATGTATTCAGTGTATCGAGCTACTAACTACATCAAGAAAATTGGGTTTTGTAGCACTTCAAGAGATCAGGACAATTTGGTTTTGAAGCGTTTTATTCATCAAGAGAAGAGGGTATTGAAGTACTTCAACATATATTCAAAAGAATTAGGTTCTGAAGCATGTCAACAGTCATCATATCAAGAGAATTGGGTTTAGAAGCATTATGTTCATCAAGAGAAGTGGGTATTGAAGCACTAACAACATATATTCAAAAGAATTAGGTTTTGAAGCACTTCCACAGTCATCGAGAGAATTGGGTTTTGGGGCACTTCAACTGTCATCAAAAGAATTGGGCCTAGAAGCACTTCATTACAGTCATCATGACAGGATATAGCCAGATGTCAACCAAGTTCAAGAAAAAGATGTTCATTAGGCTAAAAAACATACTAGTCTTCGTTCTCAGGCACCAGCCGCATCATAAAGTTCACCGCACGGTTTGTTTGTGTTTCCATTAAAAAAAAAACAAAAACAATCCTTAAGTCCAAGTCCAACAGTAGTCAGATACTGTATTCCAGTATTTTACTCATCAAGGAATTCATTTCTGTAGGGAGGCCCTTATCCAGGTTCATTGTACACAACTTTGCCAGCACCATACCTGTGCTCGTGGGTTTCACCGAAGTGGTAAACGTCTGAGACCTGCATCATTTAGGGGTTTCCTCCAACATTAAGCTGACACGCCGCGATATAACTGGAATAACGTTAAAAGCGGCGTTAAACTTACTCACTCACTCACTTATTGTACACAACTGCTTATTTGGTGACATACTCGTTTGAACGACCTAAACAAAAAAGACACCATCTGCCCGCACTGTTTTTTCAAGAGCCAATGCCTGAGAACCAATTCTTTTATTTTTTTACGCCTTATATGAGACACGAGTATTTGCAATTTGTAGAATCCACAGAGAATGTCCTTTTTCCTCTGAAGGCAATTGGTAATTTCTATGTCATTGTGGACGTAACCACTTGAACCCAATGAATACATGTAAATCAAACAAATGTATAATTGATATGAATCAGGCATGCTCCCTGACTGGGACACTCAGTGTTCTGAGAAACATTGTTACAAGTGTTTGTCAAATGAATGGGAAAATGTTCTGCAATCTCACCAATCTCATTAAAATCAGACCTCAGTTCCTGCTACCGCTAATCAAAGATCTGAGGACATCCCATTAGGGGTCATGTCAGAACGACCTTTCATCCGACCAATCAGAGCATCGCTTACCAGATTGTGAAAGTGATAGTCGGAATGTGATTTCTAATCATGCAACCTCGACACTTTAACTCTGAATGATAGTTACGGGTTCAACGACTGAATCCATACAATCTAGACCATCTATTTGCCATTCCAGAATGTTCTTTTGTTCAGGTTTCAAATTTGTAATCGAGAATTTGTCAAAATATGTTTCGAAGCGTAGTCGCCAATTTGAAATTAGTGCCGTAGAGCACGAGAAAGCTGCCTTCTGATGGGTCATTCCATTGGTCAGTCAAAGTTCGCGCAAGGTCGGTCTGACGTGACTGGTTATGGGATGTCCTCTGATCTTTGTTTAGCCGTAGCGAGAACTAAGATATGATTTTAATGAGATTGGCAATCTCACTGGTTGAGAAGCTGTGTTCAGTGGGATTGATCCTATGACATTTTTCACTGTGTATGAATGGTGTTTTTAAGCAAGTGTTTTTCTCTCAGATTTTAATTTGAAAAAAATGTACCATTCAGCTTGGTGACATTGGTACCAAATTAATTAAATGTTAAGGAAGATCAATATTTATTGGAACAACTTTGGTTTTAACGAGACTATTTCGATTATCTCGGGAGCACATGACATCTGTTTTATCGTGGCGCCATAGCATTCCAGTGTGACGTCATAGCATTCCAAAGTGACATCACGTCCAGGGTTCACTTGAAGAAATTTCTGACATGGGCCCTTTATGTGAAAATTTCAAATATTCCAGAGGTACATCCACACTTGCCCATACAGCACAATGTTAAAATGTCCCATTGTATTTGAAAATGTGGGTCTTTTTTTTCAAATTTATGGGCTAAAAGTGCAAGCCCCACCCTAGAATTATCCCTGGATGTCTGTCTCAGAAGAACCGTATTCGACGTAATAAGCGCCCGGGGCGCTCTCAAAATTAGAAATAGGGGGCTCTTATAAGAATATTATGTTGGTGAAAAAAAACATAGTTGAAAGATAAATTTTGTTGTTTCTGCTGACAGCCTGAAATGTTTATGTACGACAGATATATTTTTCCAGATTTTAATTGCCCATAAATAAGGGTGCATATAACACACGTGTGCGTATTATACCGAATAAATAAGTCTTGTGTACATTGGTTAATCGGAAGAGATGCAAATTGGGCTTGTTCACTAGCCAATATATCAGCAAATATCGCCGGGGGCGCTTATTAGAGCGGGGCGCTTATTACGTCGAATATGGTATGTGAGTTCATATTGAGAGTAGGCTCCTGACTATTACTGATAAGTTTTGTGTTTGACAATGTCAATATACATTCTTTGTCTTACAATTTGCGGGTGTTTTTGAGTTTTTGTTACCCGGAAATTTTAGCATTTAAAATCTCTAGCTAATTCCAAATGAAACTGGGGCGGTCGGGTAGCCTGGTGGTTAAAACATTATTCGTCACGCCGAAGACCCGGGTTCAATTCCTGACATGGGTAGAATGTGTGAGGCCCATTTTTGGTGTCCCCCGCCGTGATATCGCTGGAATATTGCTAAAAGCGGCGTAAAACCATACTCAATCACTCACTACAAATGGAGCCTCAGGGCATTAGATTCTCAATAACACACTCAGATCTGAAGACACTGATTGTTTGTCTGCTAATTGAACACCCTGGACATTGTTGTTCCCTTCAAGAAGGGTCAGGTTATTTCATGTTGCTTGTGCATGTAACACTCAACAAGTAGCGTATGAGAGACATTGGTCGATAGGGCCGGGACTATACACCAACTGTGCGATCCGATAAGTATCATGATACATTGCCCACGATGCGATACGTATCACGATACTTGCATGTGTTCTGATCTGGGGTAGACTCCCTCCTTGGTCTAGTGGTAGAGCTTCCGCCCGTAGAGCGGAAGGTCTGGTGTTCGATCCCTGGCCGCGTCATACCAAAAGATGTTACTTGTTGTTACCGTGTCTGGCATCTGTCATTAAGGGGCTGAAATAAGGACTGGTTGGCTCTGAGTCAGTATACTGTCTTAGTGGGGTATTCATGTTAAACTGCGGCATGGTATCTCAGTGAGCTAGCACTATAAATCGGAATCAGTCCAGATAAGTACATGCAGCCACACACAAACACACACTTGCATGAACGTCGCTAAATAAGTGCAATAATCTTGGATGCGACGTTAAACCCAATTTCACCTCACCTCTTATCTGGGGTGCGTAAACCATCTTTTTTAAAGACATGATGGCCAAATACCTGGCACACTGACGATGTACAGTTGGCAGTGTCCAATATGGCACAATGAATGAAAATATTTGTTTTCCCTACTTTCACTACTAATTAGTGTTTGATGTAAGTTTATCATAGCAAACATTTAAGGTATGAACTGATATTTATTCCTAGTGTTCGACTGTGATCGATACTTGTATCGAGAAGCAAAAACCTGTGATCTACCGATGCATTGATGTATCATCCCACCACTATTGGTCAATAGAAATGACCTGGAATTTACAGGTTATTACCATAGTTACCGGTATGATAATGATAAATATGAAGGTTTTAAGATTCTTAGAAGATTATTAGAAACAGGTGACTCAGGTACTGTGGGTGGTAAATTTAGGGAATATTTTCACATAGTGACACAGCATTGTTTTTTTGTTTGTTGTTTAACGCCGCACTCAGCAATATTCCAGCTATATGACAGCGGTCTGTAAAATAATCGAGTCTGGACCAGACAATCCAGTGATTGACATCATGAGCATCGATCCACACAATTGGGATCGATGACATGTATAAACCAAGTCAGCGAGCCTGACCACCCGATCCCGTTAGTTGCCTTTTACGACAAGCATAATCGCCTTTTACGGCAAGTATGGGTTGCTGAAGACCTATTCTACCCCGGAATCTTCACGGGTCGACACAGCATTGAGGTGTGATACTTGCTCTCAAGACATGGGGCAGTGCGTGGCATTAGTTGGAGGAAAGTGAAATGGTTCAGACATGCCCTAAATAAAAGGGACAAAACCCTTATATTCATAAGAAATGTCTGCCAAAAACAGAGTCAATTGTATGTTTCATACTCTTATCATAAGCATGTGTTTATGAATCAATATGAAATTAAGAGATACCAGGTGTTTGCAAAAAGACATTGATTTGGCAGTATGAAAGATGTTTGAACATGTCAATTTCATAGTAGTGTCATTGAGGTCAGTTGAGATTGGGTGTAATATCATAGTCAGCATTATTTCTCGTGTGTATGGCTTTTACAAGTCTGGACTAATGCCGGTTCTATAGTGCTAGCCCACTGAGATACCATGCCGTCGTTTAACATGAATACAACCCTCCAATACATTATATTGACTCTGGACCAATTTGGACTTATTTATCCCCTTAATGCAGAGTACCAGGCAGGGTAACAACAAGTACCATTTTATATCTCTTCTGGTATGATCCGACCAAAACATGGAACCATCGACCTTCCCGGCGTATGCTCTACCCGGTCCAGTGTCATTGATGACATCTCAATTAGATCTCAGTAACAACATCTAGGTTTGTGTAATGATTTGTAGATCCCAAACCGTTTATTATTCATGTAATCACACAGTTAAAGCTGTTTGATCTGCATCTTGGTTATTAATGTTGGATCAAGATCCCATCGTTGCTGCCTCCGAGATGTTCTGGAGAGGCCTGTATTAATGGCTCTGTAATGGTCACCTATGTTTGAATGCAGCAAACATACAATTTGGTCCCAAAATTCATCTTGTAATGCTTTCAATATTATGTATATTTCACATGAAATAATACAATCTCAATTTGTTTTGAATCAGTAATTTTCATAAATCATCAATTTCACCAAATGTTATACTTGTGAAAAAAACATTGTATTTTTCCAAGTGAAGGCATTTAACCAATACCACATATCAAAGCTCAGTGGTATAAAACTATCCAAGGTAACAGTTTATGGAATAGATTCTACAGTAGAACATGGATATAACGAACTACAAGGAATCGGAGAAATTAGTTTGTTATATATACGTTTTTTGTTATATACTTTTTCACTCGGAAACGTCCACCATCTTTGATAAAACAAAACACAATACACGTAATTTGTTTTACAGACAAGATTAAACCAATTACGTGGCCAGGTAAGATTAACATAAAGCAAGGTTGAATCGTCACCGCTGATTGTGTTGATTCGCCGTGATCGTGTTGCTTGCTGATTATGTATAGCCAATTGTCAGAGACACTTGACACTGAATGAGATTTCTCAGTTCGCTATACACGTCACTAATTAGTGGTATTTGGGCTTGTCGGGGATC